TTTCTGAATCTCGCTACTTCTGACTAAACTCTAACAGAAACTAGCTCCAAACCTTGACTTTACCTGCGTTTCTGCACTGCCAACTGCCACCCTGCTCGTGTCCTCCTGGAGCTGGCTTTCGTTCTGCACAGCTCCGGTCCAAGCTGGAGTCCAAGGACCGTGTCGCAGGGCTAAAACCCCATGGCAGTGAAGGACGGATTGGGCCCGCGGCCCGTAGCCCAGACTGCCAAACGTTACTTTCTGAACCGACTAAAACTAGCTCCAACCTTGACTTTACCTGCGTTTCTGCACTGCCAACTGCCACCTTGCTCGCCTCCTGGAGCTGGCTTTCGTTCTGCCCAGCTTCGGTCCAAGCTGGAGTCCAAGGACCCTGTCGCAGGGTTAAAACACCATGGCAGTGAAGGACGGATTGGGCCCGCGGCCCGTAGCCCAGACTGCCAAACGTTACTTTCTGAACTGACTAGAAACTAGCTCCAAACCTTGACTTTACCTGGGTTTCTGCACTGCCAACTGCCACCTTGCTCGCCTCCTGGAGCTGGCTTTCGTTCTGCACAGCTTCGGTTCTTGACTTTAGCTTCGTTTCTGCACTGCCAACTGCCACCCTGCTCGTGTCCTCCTGGAGCTGGCTTTCGTTCTGCACAGCTTCGGTCCAAGCTGGAGTCCAAGGACCCTGTCGCAGGGCTAAAACACCATGGCAGTAAAGGACGGATTGGGTCTGCGGCCCGTAGCCCAGACTGCCAAACGTTACTTTCTGAACTGACTAAAACTAGCTCCAAACCTTGACTTTACCTCCGTTTCTGCACTGCCAACTGCCACCATGCTCGTGTCCTCCTGGAGCTGGCTTTCGTTCTGCACAGCTTCGGTCCAAGCTGGAGTCCAAGGACCCTGTCGCAGGGCTAAAACACCATGGCAGCGAAGGACGGATTGGGCCCGCGGCCCGTAGCCCAGACTGCCAAACGTTACTTTCTGAACTGACTAGAAACTAGCTCCAAACCTTGACTTTACCTGCGTTTCTGCACTGCCAACTGCCACCTTGCTCGTGTCCTCCTGGAGCTGGCTTTCGTTCTGCACAGCTTCGGTCCAAGCTGGAGTCCAAGGACCCTGTCGCAGGGCTAAAACACCATGGCAGTGAAGGGCGGATTGGGCCTGCGGCCCGTAGCCCAGACTGCCACGGCCCCCAGTGCCTAACGTCACTTTCTGAACCTACGAGCAAACTATAGCTGTCTGACCCAAAACGGCGCCTGCGCCACAGCCAAACAGCAAGGCGCTGAGGGACGGACCGGGCCTGCGGGCCACGGCCCGCACCCCGGACTGCCAAACGTTACTTTCTGAATCGACTAGAAACTAGCTCCAAACCTTGACTTTACCTTCGTTCTGCACTGCCAACTGCCACCCTGCTCTGTCCTCCTGGAGCTGGCTTTCGTTCTGCACAGCTTCGGTCTAAGCTGGAGTCCAAGGACCCTGTCGCAGGGCTAAAACACCATGGCAGTGAAGGACGGATTGGGCCCGCGGCCCGTAGCCCAGACTGCCAAACGTTACTTTCTGAACCGATTAAAACTAGCTCCAAACCTTGACTTTAGCTCCGTTTCTGCACTGCCAACTGCCACCCTGCTCGTGTCCTCCTGGAGCTGGCTTTCGTTCTGCACAGCTTCGGTCCAAGCTGGAGTCCAAGGACCCTGTCGCAGGGCTAAAACACCATGGCAGTGAAGGACGGATTGGGCCCGCGGCCCGTAGCCCAGACTGCCAAACGTTACTTTCTGAACCGACTAAAACTAGCTCCAACCTTGACTTTACTTGCGTTTCTGCACTGCCAACTGCCACCCTGCTCTGTCCTCCTGGAGCTGGCTTTCGTTCTGCACAGCTTCGGTCTAAGCTGGAGTCCAAGGACCCTGTCGCAGGGCTAAAACACGGAGGGCCATTTATTTAGGGATTTTTTTTTTTTAGTTTAGGGAATTTTTTTTGGATTTCTTCCTGCTTACTCTATTGCCTCCTGCAGTGCTTCTCTGCTTCTTTGCTTCTATTCCTTTTTTTGTTTTTCTTGCTTTTCTTTGCTTTTTTGCTTCCCTTGCTTTTCTTTGCTTTTCTTTGCTTTTTTGCTTTTTTGCTTTTCTCGCTTTTCTGCTTTTCTTTGCTTTTTTGCTTTTCTTGCTTTTCTTTGCTTTTTTGCTTTTTTGCTTTTCTTGCTTTTCTTTGCTTTTTTGCTTTTCTCGCTTTTCTGCTTTTCTTTGCTTTTTTGCTTTTCTTGCTTTTCTTTGCTTTTTTGCTTTTTTGCTTTCCTTGCTTTTCTTTGCTTTTTTGCTTTTCTCGCTTTTCTGCTTTTCTTTGCTTTTTTGCTTCTCTTGCTTTTCTTTGCTTTTTTGCTTTTTTGCTTTTCTTTGCTTTTTTGCTTTTCAAAAAGGTGTGGAGCAACATCAACAACAACAACAGCACCAACAACAACAACAACAACAACAACAACAACAACAACAACAACAACAACCAAACAAACAAACAAACAAACAAACAAACAAACAACAACAACAACACCAACAACACCAACAACACCAACAACACCAACAACACCAACAACACCAACAACAACAACAACAACAACAACACTATCAACACTATCAACACAAACACAACCGCCAGCAACAACACCACCACCAACAACAACAACAGCAGCAACAACAACAACACCACCACCAACAACAACAACAACAGCAACAACAACAACACTAACACAACACTAACAACACTAACAACCCTATCAACACAAACAACTGTTGGAATGTCAGCCAAAATCCTGCAAGTACTGTGAGGAATGTAGCTGTAAAATGTTGCACATACGGTGGAAATGCAGATTCCAGCTCAAAAATGCTGCAAAGAGCATGGAAAATGGACAGAACATGCTGCAAACTGTTGCAAATACCGTCTGAATACCGTGGAAAATACAATGGAAAATGAGAGGTTCGAACTCAAAACCGTTGCGCATACCGTGGAAATGGCAGTTTCCAGCTCCAAAATACTGCAAATAGCATGGAAAATGGTGAGAACCGGAAATCCAAAAAAAATTCCCCAAACAAAAAAAAAAAAACAAACAATTTCCTACCCCTAAAACACCATGGCAGTGAAGGATGGATTGGGCCCGCGGCCCGTAGCCCAGACTGCCAAACGTTACTTTCTGAACCGACTAAAACTAGCTCCAAACCTTGACTTTACCTGCGTTTCTGCACTGCCAACTGCCACCTTGCTCGCCTCCTGGAGCTGGCTTTCGTTCTGCCCAGCTTCGGTCCAAGCTGGAGTCCAAAAACAACAATTTCCTACCCTCTAAAACACCATGGCAGTGAAGGATGGATTGGGCCCGCGCCCGTAGTAGCCCAGACTTGCCAACGTTACTTGCTGAACCGACTAGAAACTAGCTCCAAACCTTGACTTTTCCTGCGTTTCTGCACTGCCAACTGCCACCCTGCTCGTGTCCTCCTGGAGCCGGCTTTCGTTCTGCACCGCTTCGGTCCAAGCTGGAGTCCCAGGACCGTGTCGCAGGGCTAAAACACCATGGCAGTGAAGGACGGATTGGGCCCGCGGCCCGTAGCCCAGACTGCCAAACGTTACTTTCTGAACTGACTAGAAACTAGCTCCAAACCTTGACTTTACCTGCGTTTCTGCACTGCCAACTGCCACCTTGCTCGCCTCCTGGAGCTGGCTTTCGTTCTGCACAGCTTCGGTCCAAGCTGGAGTCCAAGGACCCTGCCCAGCTTCGGTCCAAGCTGGAGTCCAAGGACCCTGTCGCAGGGCTAAAACACCATGGCAGTGAAGGACGGATTGGGCCCGCGGCCCGTAGCCCAGACTGCCAAACGTTACTTTCTGAACCGACTAGAAACTAGCTCCAAACCTTGACTTTACCTGCGTTTCTGCACTGCCAACTGCCACCCTGCTCGTGTCCTCCCGGAGCTGGCTTTCGTTCTGCACAGCTTCGGTCCAAGCTGGAGTCCAAGGACCCTGTCGCAGGGCTAAAACACCATGGCAGTAAAGGACGGATTGGGTCTGCGGCCCGTAGCCCAGACTGCCAAACGTTACTTTCTGAACCGACTAAAACTAGCTCCAAACCTTGACTTTACCTGCGTTTCTGCACTGCCAACTGCCACCCTGCTCGTGTCCTCCTGGAGCTGGCTTTCGTTCTGCACAGCTTCGGTCCAAGCTGGAGTCCAAGGACCCTGTCGCAGGGCTAAAACACCATGGCAGTGAAGGACGGATTGGGCCCGCGGCCCGTAGCCCAGACTGCCAAACGTTACTTTCTGAACTGACTAGAAACTAGCTCCAAACCTTGACTTTACCTGCGTTTCTGCACTGCCAACTGCCACCTTGCTCGTGTCCTCCTGGAGCTGGCTTTCGTTCTGCACAGCTTCGGTCCAAGCTGGAGTCCAAGGACCCTGTCGCAGGGCTAAAACACCATGGCAGTGAAGGACGGATTGGGCCTGCGGCCCATAGCCCAGACTGCCACGGCCCCCAGTGCCTAACGTCACTTTCTGAACCTACGAGCAAACTATAGCTGTCTGACCCAAAACGGCGCCTGCGCCACAGCCAAACAGCAAGGCGCTGAGGGACGGACCGGGCCTGCGGGCCACGGCTTCCGCTGCCTAATGTTGCTTTCTCAACCTACAAGAAAGCTAGCTCTCTGAGCTGTCTTCCAGCCGCCTGCCTAACGTTGCTTTCTGAATCGACAAGAAAACTAGCTCTCTGACATGTCTTCCAGCCGCTTGTTGCTTCCTGGCTTGTTCTTTCTTGCTTCTTGCCGCTTGTTGCCTGTAAATGCTTCTTGCTTCTTGCTTCTTCTTTCTTGTTTTCTTGCTTCTTGCCCTTGCTGCTTGTAATGACTTCTTGGCCCTTGCTGCTGGTAATTCCTCCTCTGACGCGCTCCCCCTGCTGCAAGCGGGGTCGGCGGATTATAGATATATAGATATATAATATTATATAATATATAGTTTTCAGCCACAGTGCCAAGTGCTGATAGGCGCCCAGAACTCACAGCACACCGCGCAGCCGAATCCCTGGACCCGGCACGATGCCGTCGCCATGGCAACCCGCACCGGTGCCGTCGGAGCCCAACACCATGTCCTTGGAGGAGCTGAAACTTGGCCAGAAATTGCACCTGAGACACTTGAATTTATCATTAGTTTCATTAGTTATTAGTTTGCCATTATAGCATCATTAGTTTATCATTCATTTATCCTCCATTTATCATTATTCATTACTATTATGATGATCATTTTTGGTTTCAGAAATTGGCCCAAGGCCCATGACACACAGCAATAAAGGTGCAAATAAGACCTGCTTCGCTTGTGAGCATCTAGGGTTCTCACTTGCGATGATTTAAACATGTGTGCATGGCGAGCAGGTTTTGATGGCACTCATTTGTTAGACGGAAGAATGATGAAACATGTGAGGGAGTCCAAGGACGAGGTGAGGTTTCATCACATTGCATCAAAAACTTCGTGGAGTGCACCTGAAGCACTGATCTTGGAAGATTGCAAGAGGTGTAAACGACGCAGGGGGAACTTCTCCAACCTTGCTTGGTTGCAACATGTTGCCACCAACAGTACAGTATTTTGCTCAGTATGTAGTAGAAGCAATAGATAAAGACGATACATATGATTTCAAAAGTCGCAAATGACAACATCATAGGAATCATAGGACATGGTTCTCATCAGCCTGGTATTAGCCCCTCAAGTTTGTCAAAACTGCTCATGTTCCACCTAGTTCCACCTGGCGGACCTAGGCAGCCCAGCACACATCAGCACACTGAACTTACGAAGCTGATCGAAGCTGTAGGTTAGTGAAAGAATCCAAAGCCAGTAGCCATTCAAGTTGGTTGGTTGATGGTTGCTTTGTTGATGTGATGATTTCCTGGTTAATTGATGGTCAGTGATTGATATGTGATTGATGGTGTTCAAATATACTGAAACAATCTTTAAATCTGGTTTTCATCGTTCGGTTCACGTTGTCTGCTACTGCTGACACTTCCATTTTGGCCCACAGCCAATAATGAGGCACCGCTCACGCGTGTTGGTTTGTATCGACGTGCTGCTCTTCTTTGGATCGGCACTGGTGTCACTGAAGTTCTGGAGCGGACGTGGTCGGTCAACATCTTGTGTCGTTTCTGAAGTCCACGTAGCATTCCTTAGCTCCACGTAGCATTCCTTAGCAAAAAAGTTGGAAGATCATAGAAAATCTATGAAAATCTGGTTTTCACTCAGTTTGCTGAGTTTGGCTGTGTTAATTAGCTTCTCTGCATCTCAAAGGTGTCTAAAATGTGAAAGGATGTAGCCAATTTTTAAACGGCTTGACTCACAGACTGATTCACAGCAGATGGGGATGCAAGTGAATGACACCATATGACACCTGCAAATCCGAAGCCCAACAGGATAGACACACAACTGCGGATACGAGATTTGCGTCGTGCGAGTCATGATCCAAATTCCCTGGTGCTTTGGACCGGCTTGATCATGGGTGATCCACATCAAATGATGACAATGGACTGGCTACAAATTGTTTTTTAATGATGATGCAGCTCACTTCAAACCAATGATGAGACGCCACAGGCCAAGATGGCTAGGCGGATCTAGGCGGGTTGCAGAGAACATGGCTTTACAAAGCATTTGACCAGGATATCACCTGTTTTACCCATTTTAAATTGGGTTGAACCAAATTATATCAAATTATCACAGCAGTATCAGTAGTGTCTTCCGAGGCTTCGCGGCGACTCTTTTTGCAGCTGTTAGCCACGGCGAACCTTGGCAGTGTAAACGGGTGGGTCGCAGCTTCAATAATCAGACCAATCAGAGAATGGAACAGGCACAAACCGTGCGACATCGTGCGACATCGTGCGACCATTGATCAGTGCCCAGGACCATGTACAACTGAGGAACGCTTTAAGGGCCCTGGGCCTCATTTTGGACGCGAAGTTTCATAGCATTTTTGGCCAGGACAAGGCCGGTGGCTGTGCAACTGTGGATGGTGGGGTGATGGTGGAAACATGTGGAAACATGTGGAAAGTGATGCAATAATGCAACTGCCGTTGAACAGATGGCCAGTAGCTAGATCCCCGTTTGGTGCCCCTGGATGAGATCCAGGGGCTTTATCCAATTTTTTTATCCAGGTCCCATGTGTTCACCTTGTGCCCAAATTCTATCCCAGCAGATGTCTGTAACTGAAATTACTGCTGGGCCATGAATTTCATCCAGATGCAACAATATATCTTTTTGTTTCTACTTGACCTCAAACTTTGGATTTTAGCCGGGGCCCATCTTTGCAAATTCAAAGGTGCTCATACCTCAAGGCTTTGGATTTCACACACTGTGTTCACGGTTTATCGAACATTTGATGGAACGTCAGGCCATGGAAATTCATCCACCAAGCCTGTGGCATACCAAAAACTCATGAATCTCATGACGAACATGAGGTGTTTTGGCTGTTCGTTAGTAGGCAAGGGAGGGTTGGAATTTTCTGGTCCTGCACCAAAGATTCCCAAAACCTTCTCCGGGACCTGCTCCGCAACCTTCTCCGGACCCCGTTGAACCTGACTTGGCTTTGCACCAAGGCTTCCTGGAACCTTCTCCGGAACCTTCTCCAGAACCTTCTCCGGAATCTTCTCCGGAACCCTGTTGAACCTGACCGGCTGCACCGAAGCCTCCCAGACCTTCACCGGAACCTTCTCCAGAACCCTGTTGCAGCAAAGCCTCCCACACCTTCTCCGGAACCTTCGGAACCTTCTCCAGAACCTCGTTGAACCTGCACCAGTGCACACCGGAGCTGTTCTTACGCTGTAGGGGAGAAAAATCAAAACCTTGGACTGCAGGATCTTATCCCCTCACCCACTGACATGACCATCCTCTGGATGCCACACTGACCAAAACGTGCCAAGTCATGTCAAGTTACATTCCTAAGTCGCGGTGGTGTTGCCAATTGTCTTGCGATTCTAGCAATCTCTCCAACCGCCTTTCCATATTCCTCGCGGGCCCTGATACGATCATATCGCAGCGAAAAGTAGCGCGGTGCTCTTTCCAGCAGTTCTGACCATTGGATCCCGACTTCGGTGGTTCCTGTCGAAGGGTTGCGAAGTCGGATGCGCCCATCGCTGGTGAGGAGGGGGCGGCTCGAGTGATGCTGCTGGTCAAGTTCCAGCAACCGGTTCAATTCCTGTTTGATCACCAGATCACCCCGCTTAAATCTCGAAAAGTTCGAGGGTATCGCCTGGGCTGCAAAGCACTCATTGAGCTGGTTCACCCATAACTGACCCCTTCATGTGGTAAACATAAACCACATTCTTTACAACCTCACCCCATGGATCTTATCCACAAAAATCTCCGATCTCGAGCTAATTTTCATGGTCCATTGCCAGATTGAATCAACCAAATAAACATCTAAATGCCCGTTGCTGTAGCATTCTAGACAGGCAACCTGGTTTTTAGCCCCCAGTTGGGGCTAAAATCCTTCAATAAAAATGGTGTATGAGGTACAAACTGCAACCAATGAAAACCTTTGCGAAACCTTTCTCGTATCCCAGAGTGGCACTCATAAAACTCAGGCTCCAGGCTTTCATCCTGTGCAAGAACTTCACTATTTCATTTTCATGAAACTCAGGCCCCTGGTTTTCATCCTGTGCAAGCACTTCACTATTTCATTTTCATGAAACTCAGGCCCCAGGTTTTCATCCTGTGCAAGAATGTCACATTTAATTTTCATGAATCTCAGTCTCATGTTTTCAGCCTGTGCAAGAATGTCACCATTTAATTTTCATGAATCTCAGTCTCATGTTTTCAGCCCGTGCGTGCACTTCACCGCTTAATTGTCATTCGTGCATTGCCATGGCTATGTACCTCAATGGTCTGGTTTTTATCCAGGGTGCACGGTCTAAGGTTGTTTTTTATATGCACCTCAGTGTTAGGGCTTTCATCCACAGGGCACGGTTAAAAATTAATAAACACAGATAAAAAATTAGGCTTGACCCCAAAACCTATCCCCTCATGTAACCTCAGTACATTTTTTTATCAGGCCTCAAATTTTGGGTTGGAACCTGGTTTTCATCCAGTTCCCCTAGATAAAATCCATGTCCAAACCCTAAAGGCAGCACCACACGGGGATTAGCTAGGATCCGCCAACATTGGCAATGGTCATATCATGTCATATCCTCAGATGCCAGGACGACACTCAGTGGCAGCATGTCGCATTGCACAGATGTTTCGACTATGTCATCTCCTCCTTCCCAACCCTGGTTTGGTATCCTGACTGCATTGGGACTTTGAGGCAAACGTCCGAGCAGTGATGACAGGACGTAATCACGTTTAACTTATAACTTATAACTTATAACTTAATTGTAATAATGCATAATAATGCACGAGAATGGAGCCGGGATTGTTGAGTACACATACTTGATTCCGTGGAGTTAATGACTTGAGCATGGACCAAGTGATGTAGTTTCACACGCACAAAACAACATCGAAGGCCATGACTTTTTAAAGGACCCACGACTTCGTCTTGGACACGTTGGCAGATGTTTGCGGCATTGAATGGTCTTGATATGTCTTGATTCATTTCGTTTCGTGCTGATGCTTTGTGAGAGTGGCCAGCGGCCACCGTCTAAGGTGCAGCATGCTGAGTGTCTTACTGCTCCACCTGATCGAAATGCATTTGAGACCTTCGGCTGAACTTGGTGCTTTGCATTCAGAATCATTCAGACAAGCCCATCCATTAAATGCATTTAAATGCTAAAGTCTGGGCAATGCGTTCATCATGTGAACCGAGGTGTGGACTGATCAATTAAGCACATGACTTGTAATTGTAGCCGAGAGGCCACATATTTTTTTAACCCATGGCCCTGCAGATTTTTGACATTGAATTGGCACATCTCCCAATATCTCTCAAATTCTCTCAATAGCTCCCAATCCCCTTCATCTAATCTTCATAAATAATATCAGTAGTACCGCACAACGCGGTGGCGGAATTTTCAAAAATAGGAAACCTATAGGCGAGGTTAATTGTTGTGAATCACGGATGGCAGAGCGAAGCCACTGATGGATCGAAAGGTGGTTGGTTGGAGCTGTGTTTTTTGGAGTGGTTGCAATGGTTGCAGTGGTCACCTCACCACAACTGCTGGATGTAGTGTGGTGTAGTGCAGTTGTAGTTGTTGTGTAGTGTAGTGGAGTTGTAGTTGTAATGTTGTGTAGTGTAGTCTGGTGTAGCATAATGCTGTGTAATGTAGTGTAGTTGTAATTTTTGTGTGGCGTAATGTATTGCAGTTGTCGTTGTCGTTGTCGTTGTAGTAGTTGTAGTCGTAGCAGTAGTAGTCGTAGCAGTAGTAGCAGTAGAAGTAGTAGTGGGGAGGAGGAGGAGTTGGAGTCGGAGTAGGAGTGAGGAGTAGGAGTAGGAGTGTAGCGCGAGCTTTATATAAGAATGTTGGTTGCCGATGGCCAGCGTCCCTCAATTTCTTATCGGAAAGGCCCCATGTATATATGTCAGTATATATGTACAATTATTCGGCCGAGGGCCCCTTAATTTCTCAGCAATTTCTTAATGTAGTATTTCACAAGCAGTCAGATTTGAAGATGTAAGAGCAGGGTTGCCTCTGCGCAGCTCCTTTCGTGGGTTTGTCTCCGCCATCCTTGCGCCGCTTCCCAGTGGCTCCTGGGCACAAAGGAACAGTTATGAACAGTTATTCAGTCTCCTCTACAGAAAGCTCTTACAAACCCTTACCTTGTTATGTATTGAGTTGAATCCTTACCCTGTGACGTCTCCTCTACACAAGGCTCTTATAAACCTTTAAAGGGCTCAGTTCAATACATAACTATATCCAGCCCTTCAATTTCTTAACCATGTAAGGGTTTATTATAAGAGCTTTGCGTAGAGGAGACGTCACCGGGTAAGGGTTCAATTCAATACATAGCTAAGAAATCCAGCCCATCAATTTCTTAACCATGTACCCGGTGGCAACAAGGCAGCACAGGCAAGGCAGGGCAAAGGGCAAGGCAAGCCAAGGCAACATGAGCCAAGGGCGCAGATGACCTGCAGTGAGTCTGGCTGGTGTCTGGCTGATGCTGTTGCTAGCACACTTGGTGACCATGTACTGGCTCGACTCTGGGGTAGTCCTCTCCCCTTGCTTGTCATTCCCAACCATGCGATGGTTGTGCAAAATTCATTTCAGCGGGTATTTGGCTGCAAGGGAGGCTGGCTCCATTTCCCGCTCAAAATAGAATCTTTATAAACCCTTTCATGGTTAAGAAAATTGAGCGGGGGCACAGAGGGGCTCCTTCACATACATCTAAATTTCTTAGCCTTCAAAACTCCAGGGTCCCTGAATTTCCTAACTTCTATTTGCATATACCTTCCACAAAACATATATGCGGAAAAAAGCCAGCCCTTCTTTTTATTATACAAGGAATTCTTATCCAGTGCTTGGACTGTAGTAGTAGTAGTGGTAGTAGTGGTAGTAGCAGTAGCAGTAGCAGTAGCAGTAGCAGTAGCAGTAGCAGTAGCAGTAGCAGTAGCAGTAGCAGTAGTAGTAGTAGTAGTAGTAGTAGTAATAGTAGTAGTAGTAGTAATTAGTAGTAGTAGCAGCTGTAGTAGTCGTAGCTGTAGTTGCTGTAGCTGTTGTTGCAGTAGCTGTTGTTGTAGTAGTTGTTGTGTAGTTATTGTTGTGTAGTTGGTGTTGTGTAGTTATTGCTGTGTAGCTAGTGTTGTGTAGTTAGTGTTGTGTAATTAGTGTTGTGAATTAGTGTTGTGTAATTAGTGTTGTGTAGTTAGTAGTGTAGTGTAATATAGCGTCGTCGTAGTAGTAGTAGTCGTCGTCGTCGTCGTAGCCGTAGTAATCGTAGTAGTCGTCGTCGTCGTCGTCGTATACGTAGTCGTAGTCGTAGTCGTAGTCGTAGTAGTAGTAGTAGTAGTAGTAGTAGAAGTAGAAGTAGAAGTAGTAGTGTAGTATAGTGGCAGTGGTAGTGGTAATTGTAATTGTAATTGTAACTGTAGTTGCCATTGTTTATCTATCTGTCTGTCTGTCTATCTGTCTACCTGTCTACCTGCAAGCTTGAAAATGGAGCTATTCTGCGAGACTTCCTCAATGTTTGAATTTGACAACATCAAAAACACAGAAATTTTACGAGACTGCATCAATTTTTGAAGTTGACAACGTCAAAGAACGAAGCAATTCTGCGAGGCGTCCTCAAATGTCCAAATTGGCAAAATCAAAAACGAAGCAATTCTGCGAGACCTCCCTCAA